GAGCAAAATGTGATTTCGTGGGGGGGGGGCACAAGGGGGGACTCGGAAATGTCATTTTCTGCATTCTGAGCATCCAAATTTGCTCCAAAATTTATGCTAACTATATTTGTATTTGAAATAAATAAAGGAAAAAATGCACAAGTAAAAAAGAATATTAACTGAATATTAGAGGGATAACCCCAGAAAATTTTTGAAATTTGAAACCCGGAAATGCTATTTCCTGCATTCTGAGCATCCAAAAAATAAAAAAATTATTAACAGTAATTTATCTTACTTAGTGGTAGAAAAAAGTAACAATTTAAATCGTTAAACAAAGACAAAGGATAAAGCTTAAAACTTACTTTCCGTTTATGTATTTGTTAATCTTCGCTGGTTTGTTTGTAAAATTTTAGGGAAAAGGGACTTTTCGGGGGGGGGCTTTTATCATTGTTAGTGCCTAAATGTGTAAATCCATTGACTAAAATCTTTATTACCACCTGAGATAACTTCCTGAGATGTTAAGAACTCTTTTATCAATTTATCATGCGTTACGTATAGACTACGTACTAGCTGATCATGTTAAATTATGCATGTAAATATCTTTCACATTAATCTTAGTTATTATGTATCTATTTTATTAATTTATTTATTCAACTTCGCCAGGTAAAATTACACGAATGACATGCATACAATACAAATACAATATTATACAAGTGACGAATGGCGGGGACACCACAACAGTTAAAACAAATTACTGCGTGCCCTTTTAACATATAGGTTACATACAGATATCTAGAAACAACAGTTGATAACATTATTCAAACTTTGACAAGAGTTACAATTTAAACATAGAGATCTCCATGTTCTTGGGTCCAATGCATCAAAACAACTTTGCAGGGCTTTCGAATAACACTGTCGTAACAAACTTTTAAATGCACTTAATGAATATAACAAAACCGAAATTTGCAAAATGGCGGCTAGCCATTTTGTGGAAGTTTACTGATAAAGAAATCAGAGAAATTAAAATAAATTCAGTACCAAAAGCAGAAATATTAATGTTAAATATGTTAAATATCCCGCTAGTTGGGAAAACAAGATGGCGACTCAAGAATTACCGGGACAGTTTGCGAATGAGAAAACAGCGGTTTTTATAGTCTTAACAGGACTAAAAACACAATGAAAATATTTCCAGCAATTGTTTGCAGATCAGGTTAAAAAATATATTTTTGAAAAATATAATTACGAAAAAATATAATGCGTGTCAATATAATGCGTACCATTTTCTTTTGTGTCCAAGTCATTAGTTCCACATTACCGCTCAGGAAACAAAGAAATGCACTACGTTTCAGTACGATACCATTAAAGTGGGAAACCGGCTTTAGGCATAGGTTTAGCCCGAGGCCAAGTTATGTGGACTTCCAAGCGAAATATTGGGCGACTTTGGAAATCATAATCGTTGCACCTTTTTTTACACAGTTATTCAGTTATAATTCCAAGTCAATCCCCCTGCCATCCTTGTGTCCGCCATTGTTAAATATACAAACGTTATATATACCATAATTTCTCCACTTGCATACACTCACCGTTACATGTCCTTCCATCTCCTGTGTAACCTTGCTTACATTGACAAGTAAAACCACCGTCATTATTCATACATAAACCGTTGTCATCATCGCAATCATTATCCTGGGATGATGCACATTCATTGATATCTTATAAACATAAAAAAAGAATAAAATACTTAAAATAAAGCGCGAAACGAATCTTATCTGTTCCCTAAAAGGAAAAACGACGGTAAAACCTACATTTCCAGTAAAGCATAAAATTATCTATTTTTCTAATGTTGACTTAAATATGAACGACATCCTATCAAGGTAAGTCATATTGTCTTGACGAATGAAATCACCTAGCTTCAAACGGAACATGCAGCATTCGAGTTAATTAGAGATGTCCACAGATAATTTGGTTAAAACTGACTAATCACGTTTTCCCATAAAACTTTCCTTGCGGTTTGAATATAAATGGTGGATGTGAAAAACCTCCTTAATGCAAATAAACGTTTTTCATAGTTTGCATAATTGTTAAAACGATGGACTAGCTAGACGCCATTGAAGAACAGCGAGATTTTGCATAAAACAATCAAAAGAAAATTTAACATTGTGATCTCCTAATCGTCACTAAATGGGATATAACACGAGTTATGCAGAAGGCTCAATTAAAGGCGAATGATTCTAAAAGTTAGAAATCTAAACATTTTGTGAAAATATCTTTACCCAAGCAACTTCTTCCATCTCCCGTCCAACCAGCATTGCAGAGACATTCATGACTTCCAGCAGTATTTTGGCAGGTGGCTTGGGCGTGACAACTATGTGCGCCATTACATTCGTTGATATCTGTTAATTAAGGCAGGAATATATTCGGTCATTTACATTCATAAATTTTGATTTAAATAAAAGAGTAATACCAGCAACATATAGTTAATATCTGGAGTTTCCCAACGTTCTATCGTTGGCCCGGTTCTTTTTCTTCTGTATGTGAACGATTGATCAGGCCCGGATGGTAAAAACAACAAAAAGGTGCCTTGTTTCGCTGATGACACCAAGGTTGAAATTCAACCAAGCAAAATGCAAGTGGCAGCGTATCACACGCAAGAAAACTTATTTAATATCGATCGGTAAGCAATTAATGGTCAAACACTTAGTATTGTGAGTCATGAAATTAATCTTGGTGTCTGGGTGTCGAGTGATTTAACCTGGAACAATGAGCAGTACGTGTTCGAAAAGGAACAAACTGTTGGGATTATAAGAAGATCATCTCGGGAGATAAGAAACCCAGTAACAAGAAGCCGGAGTACCCGGCGAAAACCCACGACTTTCGGCAGAGCGTTGGCTTTTACTCTTTTCACATGAGGACTGGGTTCGAGTCGCATGGAAAAAGTTCCCACTGAGGCTTGAACCTGCGGCCTTAGAGGCATCCTCGTTCCCAGGGCTTCTCGGTTGCCTGCGTTGCCGTAAGCCCTGGGACAAGCCAAACCGGAACATCACAAATTCTGGTGTTTTCTGGAAGTAAACGCGCTCTGCTGCAGCTAAAAATCTGACTATGCATTAATTTTTACTGAGGAGTGGAGACGTGTTGGCATGGATAATAAAATAAATGGATATGAAACTTCTGACGTCATTGACTGCATCCTTGTTGAAAAACGTGACGTCACGCGTATTGCGAATGTTACCAAAGTTCTCGGCATTTTTGTTGTTTTGCTATATTTTCCACTTTAAAAG